CATCCATTAACTTTTTACAAGTTTCAAATATGTTTTTGGCACACCTCTTTCATAGTATGTCTCGACATAAACTTTTTCGTCGATTAAACTTATATATTTAAATTCTTTGATATTTTAATTGATTTAATTTTAAATGATTATACATACACATTTATATTAAAAGTTCATTTTTGGTATAATATTTTTGTACTTACACATATATGTATTAGGGTGATCCTTAAATATATGAACATCATGGAGCACCCCCTTTTATTTTGTATGCATAGGCGATATACTACTTTTAATACATATTTATGTATGTACATAAACAAGTGAATATATTCTTGAAAGATTTTTTGTTTTGTAATGTTAGTTTTTTATTTTTTCTTTTGTTATTATAAACTGTACTGTACCGAACTGTAGAGTAAAAAATGTCTAATTGTCCGGTTTGTAGGCGTGTCCGGATTATAGATGTGGCCAAACCACCGCGTGTCCGGATTACCGAGATAGCACTTTAAAATTAAGTTAATCGACTTTCTCAAAAAAGAAGCCCTATCTTGCCTTTTTAAGCGTACATAAAATACAAAATACATAGAAACGTATTTATCACTTGGGACCTGGATTTTATGAGAAGCTTTTTCATGGCAGAAATACAATCGAAGGTTTCCCATTGCCTGGCGATGGGCAACCAACTATAGAAATATTTCTTTCTAATCTATAATTTTTTATGTGCCATGGATCGAACCCAGGTCTTACCAGTTGGCAGTACAGTTCTCTAACCAGCCACCCACAGCAGCTGTCCTGATGTTTTCACTTAAATACAAAAATTTGTTTGCGTTCTCGCCAAGTGAGTTTGTTCTGTGACTGCCGGTGGGTGGAGCAGAAAAATAATTTTCAGCAACTGCTTTAAGTAATTCTAGGGAGCTAGTATTCCGATATTGAAGAATATCAGCACCTCTAAGAACTCTGTTATATGTACATACATACATAGATACATATGTAGATTCCTTAATTACAATTTCAAATTCCGAAGCTCTCAACTGAAAGTCAGCTGATTAAAAAAAAAGGTTACAATACCACATTTTATATATACATTTAAAATATAATACAAGTTCAAATGAAAAAAAAAAACCAGATAGAAAAAAGGTTGGGCTTCGGAAAAAACTTCGGTCGTTTTTTGTCGAAGCCTAGCGTTCACCCGAATATGATAATATTGTCGATTAATCGGCAAACCGAAGACGAAGGCGAACGTTCTGTCGGACTCTAGATGTTTTATTTTGTACGCAGAGCAGGGGTGCCCCATATATAATTTAGATGTTTATATTGTAAGGACCACCATAAAATGTAAGTTTGTATGTAGTATACCAAAAATGAGCACCAAAGTAGGGAAATAGTAAAAAAAGGTTTATCTTCTGAGTTTCTGAAAACTGGAAAAAGTAACCAATAAATAGGTATTACTTAACTAGTATAAATAGCTAGTGTCTCTAACAAAATTATAAACGCATTTTAAATAAAAAAGCCTTGAATTGGCCCACATTTTACTTCTTCATAAATTTGCATTGTCTTCTGGTGGCCTTATTATGTTGGATCTAAAGGCCTTATCATAGAGCTGTACTATTCGTTAAACGTTTATTGTTAATGCGCAGACCAAGGAATGTGAAATGGGGAACCCTAATAGCAGAAGTGTCTGACGCATGAGTTTTGAAGACTATTCGATTGGGACCAGCAGTGGACGGAGCTACGCCTGAATACCACCTAAACAACGAGGCGTCACATAGTGCTTCGACTATATGGAGGCAGGTGGAAAAAAGTACGATCACAGTTGATGAAAAAAAAACGGTTGGAGAAAGAACACTAAAAGTCATAAATACAATATTGCATGTCATTTACTCACCCCCCTCTCTACGAACGGTACATTTCCAACAAAAATACTGGAATCGGCGCGATATACTCACTAATCAGTTTCGCTGCCTTTGGTGCTGAACCCATTAAAGAAAGTGTTTCTTTTTCAACTGTAATCAATTATTTTTAGTGTAATGAAATATTCAAAAGAAGGTATTTATCATTAATTTGGTATTTTCCTACTTTTTATTAAAAAATTTACTTGGAAATGTAGGTGCTAAAGATTACCCTTTAAGCAATTTTCTAAGTGCTCAGAATTTGTGAGTCTAAAATGAGTCTTTCTTTCATCATAACTATGATTCTGAGGCCAGTCAAGAAGGCTGATTCATTTCGGACTATTTTGGTGTCATAAATTCTCAATGTTGTCATCAGAAAGTCTTCAGTACTAATAGTCAAAATACTAATTTATACCATACTATAGAATTTTTGCCTAAAGTGCTCAACAATGTCTTGTAGGGTAGCTTACTGCCAATATAGAAGTATTACATCGTCGCCTGGGTAAAAGATTGTCGTATGTTAATTTCGGTAGGTCGTGGGAAATACAATTTCTCAAAAACGCGAAGATAGATTTTCTCCAAAGTCTATGAATATGTTACTAGTTCACAAAGCTCTTAAATGATTTAATTTTTAATGTTTAATGTTTATTGTTAATTAGTTTTGAGTTTATGAAGGATTTTCTTTAGTAACATTTTGTCGTAAGCGCCATTTGTCCGCAATTTGGCAGGCACTTTGTATGAAATACGACAAAATGTGATCAAAATTTCTACTAAATTAACGACAGTTTTTACTCAATTTCTCGGAAACTAAAGGAGATATCCAAAAATGGAGAACGTCATTTTTAAGATATTGATTAGTTTAATATGGCTGCATCACTAACTAAATTTTTACATAATTATAGAAAAAATTGTAGTCAAAATCTCGGAAACTAAAGGAGATATCTGAAAACTGATAACACCAATCGAAAGACCTTATTTCAAAATATATAACTACATCTAGAACTAAAAATCGTCAAAATTGCGCTTACGACAATCTTTTACCCAGGCGACGATATGGTATTAGTAAAAAAAAGTGCGGGTATCGGTTCGTCAGGTCATGAAATAATACGCATGATTTAGAAAATTTCATGTAGTTTTCGAGCATATAATTGGATCTTTTGGCGCGACTTTGCAAATATATGTAATTTTCATTTTCTCCTTTATTCGATTATCAACTTCTTTTTGCATAATTTCGGGAAAAATATTTTTCGAACAATGGAAATAACACAAGAAATATTGGGAGAAAGGAGAATATTTACACCTACGTAATTTTGTTTAAGCATAACCTCTGCTATTCTCATTGGGGCCACATTTTTTTGCGAGTTGTATTGATCCAATATGCCCCATATTTCATATTTTGGGGTTTCTAATAAAAGAGAGAGTACAAGCTAAATTTCATCGTAATTTAATGTTTCCCTACAAGAGTACAGGGTGTGGCAATAATCCTATCAGTAAGTTTCAGCGAAATTGGTGTAGGTTAACTATTATTCACCTGCCTCCATATAGTCGAAACACTGTGTGTAATTGCTCCCGCTTAGAGAGCATAACTTAATGCTCAGCAAACGGTTACTGGTTGGAATCCGAATAGACACTTGCATGAAGCAGATTACCATTTGGGGACGTCAGAAGGCATCTCCACGAACTCACGGATGAGATCATACATATGAATGGAACTCAATCGCTGCACCCGACAGGCCCTAAGCGACATCCATAGAGAGTCGATTACCACTTTCAAAGACTCTCGCTCCTTGAATGTCTTTATAACTGCACAGTCGTCATGAAGAGAGCTTTAGCTGTCGCTGGAGACACGCGTATCTCTGACAGAATTTAAATTTGGTGACTACAATCGACTAATCAAATCAAACTCCTTTGTTATTACCGAACCAATGGTAAATAATAAGAAAATTTAGCTTCTGAAATGGTCAGAACGGTCTATGCGGAGATTTTGAGTGAAAATGAGACACCAAATTTCACCATATTCTATAAGGATGCACCGGTTGGCCCTAATGTCACTGGCCACTCTTTCAAACTTAATTGTAAAACATCGTATTTTTTGCTGAAATTGTGGCTTTTACGGAACACTAGAAATAGCAAAGGCCTGTCGTTTGTAAAAATGAACACCAACAACCATGTAATTTATAAAATATGTACATAACTTTACTAATGGAGACAGAGTTGCAATTGAATGGACACCAAGCCAGGAAACGAAAAAGCAGACAGTCTAGCGAACGCGTTGAATGGGGACAATGTAATGCAGGTAAAATGCTCGGTCGACGAAGCACTTAGACAAACTAGAAATCAGATAAAGAAAAGTTGTTATGAATGCTCTAGAAATAAGCCGAACCTATTCAATGACATTTTCGATAAGCGGTCTAACAAGACATGGTTTCATAAATGCACGTTAAGCGCAAACAAAAAAAAAAAACAAATTAACAGAATTCTCGCTGGATGTACATACATATGACACAGAATATTTTTACAATATCAATTTATTAAACTCGAATGTACATATGTGGCTGTGGCCAAATTGGCAGCCTACGTTCACCAAAATTGTGAATGAGACCCTCCAGTTAAAAGGACATTATGGCTACTACACGCTACCAGGTACATATGCAGCACTCAAGGATATAAATATAGAAAAAGGGAACTAATCTGGCGTTATGTGACCCGACAGTTCCTGTCAAGCACTTCAAAACTCAAAAATAAAAAGTATAACATTAATCAACAATTTAGTAATCTTAATTTCATTTACCTGTATTTATACTGGATGTGAGATATTTCAGCCCTCTTGTGGTAGTGATGTTCATTCTTGGTATATATATAACTACTACATATGTACTTATGTGTGTAACTGTTCATACGCAATTAAGTAAATACATTTATATATTTAAAACGGCTCCGAAAAACATACACGCATTATCTTCTCTCAGTTTTCGATTGACTTTTCAAGTTAATAAATATGTAGTAGACTAAGAATTAAATTCGAATTTGTAAGCACGCTCACTATTAAAATTTGTCGCACATTCATAAGCCTTTCATAGAAATCGAAATTGCATATTCGTATGTTACATTTAAACTTTATTTCACCCAAGTGAAATATTCCCTAAGACTATCACTTTTTGGAATTTCTTCGGTTCCAAAGACATTCACATATTTTCTTGAATATTTGCTACTTAAATGTAATTAATGTTTAGCTTACTTGAGCAGAGATATGCAATTTACAACTGTACTGTGTATTAAGTATACTGTCAATGATTAAATTAGTAAATAAAGAAGCACCCTCTAATATATAGTTAAAAAGATGGTTTCTAAAGTATACAGCACAGTATTATAAGATGAACATTAGGAAATCATTTCATTAAGAAATAAACCACTCCTTAAAACACAACACTGCAGCGATGCCAACCATATATTGCGTTGGAGCAAATTATTTCATTAAACCGGTTATGCTACATATTCATAGCTGATTAGTTGTTAACAATTAAATCATTCAGGAAATCGTAAACTTGTCTAAATTTTTATTTCTGTTTCACCTTTACTCCACCTATCTGGTCATGAGTTTTGTATAAATATGTACATAATACATTTTCGATTGGCATCACTATTTTCAAAATCGAAAATACATAACAGTGTTTGGATACATAGAAAATGGCTAATGGCTATGTATTGCTTTAAAATGCGTATAAATTGCTTTATAAGATTTAAATACCTAACGAAACTTCAATGCAATATTTGACTTTAGAACGAATTCATTTGCCTTTAATACACACTATAACATGTATTGTTAACGTACATGCGCATAACATCACAACTTTGTTGCAATCTACTTAGTTAGTTAGCGTTTAATCCTCCCATTCATCGTCATTACCCGACGAATCGTCGTTCTCATCATCTGACGGTTGCATGACGCGTTCGCGTTCAAGTAGCGCGCGCCTCAGCGCAACGGCCAGCGCATCGCTGGCAGCCGGACCCGTGCCGTCATCGCTATTGCGATTGATGGGCGCGCGATCATGCGATGGCTTCAGCTCGAAACCGCTGCGAATTTCAGACATTAGATCACTGTGTGAATCGCCACTGCCTGTGCTCAGTGCTGCGGTATCTACTTTCTGTAAACAAAAAATTAAAAGTGTTACTCAAACTATTACTTAGAGGAAAAACCATACTCGAAAATATACCTTTAATACAGTTCCTTTACGTATGCTCTCCAGGAGTTGGCTGCGCACATCTGGTACGACGGGTAGTTGCGCTATTGGCCGTTTCGTTTCTGCTGCCGGCGCATCCGTCGTGCTTATTACCTGCGACTCGACCATGGCTGGCGGTGGCGGTGGTGGCGGCGGCGGAGGTGGTGGTGGCTGTTGCAGCAGGGGAAACGCTTTAGCAAAAAACTTAATACTTTGAGTATGGTTAAGAATAACTTACAGCTGCCGCTGGCGCAGCTACAGCAGGCTGTGGTGGTGCTGGTGGAGGTGGCGCTACATTTATGGGAGGCGGTCTTGTGGGTGGTGCTGGTGCACGTGTTGCCCCCGGTACTGTTGTTGGCACCGGTGGTGGAGGTTGTCTCGCCGGTGGTGGCGGTGGAGGCGCAGTTCTTTGGCTTACAGTTGTGCCATTTTGATGCTATTAATTGTACGATTATTTATATTGCCATTGAAGAAATTTTATGTTGATAAATACTTACATGCTGGTGACGACTTGGCACAGGTGGCGGCGCGGTGGGCGCCGTAGCTTTTGGCGATTCCACGCGCTCCGATTTGACCGATGCCAGTACGTTGTTGCTTTGAATGAAGTCGTAGATAAAGGCACGCGTGTCGCGGTCCTTCAGTTCATTTTCGGATACGCCAGCTTTAGCGAAGAAGCTAGTGAGTACTTCATCGTTCTCATTGCCAGTTAAATCGAAGCCCTTATCAGCATCCCAGCCGACATGGCTGATATGCACGAAATTTGTTGGCGTACTGATATCCGCTTTAGTAACTTTTCGTTTCGCCTTATCTTTGCTTGATGAACCCGACAGACCAAAACTAGTACTAAGGAAGTTTTTGGAAGGCGCTACTGGGTTGGGACCAGGCGTCAGTGTGACAGAATTGATTTTTTGTGGGTGATTGCGAAGTTGAACGCCAGAGTCTGTAGTCGTCTGATTGGTCGCGGATGTGGATCTGTTTGCTTCTCTAGCCACCGGTGGTGGTATATTTGGCGCAGCTTGCGCTTTTGCGCGATTCCGTTTTTCTACACGCGGATGAGATAAGCATTTTTTTTATTTCAAACCAGTATGTATGTATGCATAAGCTTGAGTTAAAAAAAATGCAAAAAACGAAATAATAGGTACCAACCTAATTTCTTGCGATTTCTCGTTTCAATTGTCGTGTCCACAGCTCTATAAAACGAATCGCACTCTTCCTCCGACACAAAGTTTAAGCCTACGTGTCCATCCTGGCAAAAAATTGTAGATTTTATACATTGATTGAAAATTTTAGTTAAGAAATTTGGCCTTCTGTTGTGCCATGAAATTCCTCCAATAGTTTTCTGAAAAGTTTTCTTTTTAGTACTTATAACAAATGATTTCATCGAAACATGAAATTGCTTTTGTTGAGTGATTTTTTAAGGATTATCTACGTACTTGTGTATGTATACACAAAATACATCATTTGGTGCTTTAAAATAAAATTATAGTTTAAAAACTAAAACCTCGCTATTATACATTCCATTCGTACTGTCATCAGGTATGTAACTTGGGAATGGGAATCACTGTATCTTTTAGGCGCATCAATATTACATAGTTACATCCCGAGCTAATAAAAGAGAGGTAATAAAATACAAGTAAGCCTTAGACCTTCATTAACTTTTTCTTATTTTGCACATGGGGGACCCATAAAAATTGTTAGTATTAAAAAAATTGTAAAATAAACAACTGGGCATTATTATGAAGAGAAACAGAGTTCGAAAAATATTTATTTTTAAGAATGCTTGTACATATATCATTTCTACGAAAAATCGATAGAATCCTTCATAGGTTTTGAGGCAGTTCTAAACATCATTTATATCTATACCATTTCTACGAAATAGTGTTTATCCCTATATAAAATACATGGAAAACTTCGTGGGCTTTGAGTTCTAATAACAATTTTTTTTAATTTTTAAATGAGAGATTGACATTTTCTACTTTTTTTCGACCACTCCAATGTACATACATACGTAAGTATGTACTAGAGCTCTTGTTAATCGAGTGGTGGACTAATCGGTTAATTGGTTAGCAAAAGTGTTTTCAAAAAATAGTCGACTTTACTTAATCAGTACAAAAATCTGTAGTTAAATGTTGATTCTGAGTTAACTATGTATGCACTGTGAATTTGGCCCTAACCGTTTCCTTTCGACTTTTTCAGATAAGAGCTCTCAAACAACTACATAGTCGACTAACTGCTCATTTTCGATTTTTGCACAGGTTGTTTCATTTCAATAACAACAACAAAATACACTACAGAAAAATTATTTTTAACCAGATAACCTGATAGCCAGGCAACCGTGAACAAGCACATTGATAGCTAGCGATATGTAAGTAATTTTTTTAAGCATACGTGCATACATTCTTCATAACGGTTTCAATATTTGGAGTTATTTAAAAAAAAAAGTATGAGATAAGGTTTTTCTATACTAAGACAATGATAGATATGATCATTCAACAGAAAGTTCAAAAATTTCTGCCAGGCAACGAAATGACAAAAAATCTATGCCAGTTTAAAAATACCATAATGCCCTGCATAGTGGCATAGTAGTAGTAGTGGTTAGGTTTTACTTCAAAATTAACCACTATTTTAATAAGTGTAAGGGAGTTTACGTACATATATATATACTTTTTCAATGCGGACGCTTTTTAGTTTTTATTTTGTTTTCGCTGACTCTATATTTCGCTTCTTAATTACCCTTTAAAAAAATATAAAAAAAGTAATTAAGGAGTGAAAATTTTTAATGAAAATTTGCATAAAGTTTGGAATCATAATTACAAGACAAGGTCATTCAATTCTTTGGTCTTTGCTCTCTCATGTTATTTTTTGTGCACCAGCCCAAATTCAAATTTCTTTAAATTTTTATAAGTTTGCTGGGACAAACCGTAGTTCAATATGCATCGATTGAGGAAAAGTCGAACTTTTTGAATCGATTCATGGATCGAATCGGAACTAAAAACTCGACAAAAAATCGGTTCGGAATGGCTCGATTAATCGATCTTCGATTTTAAAACGGCATCTCTAGTTCGAAGTAAGCTAACCATACCACAAAAGAAATGCAAATGTCAAATGTTCTCATTATATCTTTTTCATATTTAGCAACTAAACTGATCTAACCTACATACGTTTTTAGTATTGGGACGTATGAATAAAAACCAAGAAATTACTTTTTCTTAAAATTTCAGACCTTTTTTGTAATTTATTTGAATTAATCGAGTTAAAGGTCTGAAATTTAAAGAAAAAGAATTGCTTGCTTTTTATTCATACGGCTCATTGATGCAATTTTGAGCCTGAGAAACAATTTCGATACAAAATTACCTATACAAAATCTATGAAAAAGAACTTTTTTCCGGAAATTTCCACTTTTCTGCAAATTTTTTTAAAGTCTAAAAACTTTCCTTGGGTAGAAATAAACACAACACAAAATATAACTCAATAGGACGATCCGTTCTAGAGTCGAACGTAGAGTCTTGCGTAAGAAACTTTGCTTTATATAAATAGAGATTTAAAATTTTTACATAGTTGGTAACCCTCTTCAAAATTATTACTTTTGGATAAAAGAACATTTAAAGTTCTCTCTAAATGCGTCGTAACATTTTACTTATTATTTTTTTTTTTTAAGAAATAACTACATTTGAACAACGTTACTACTTTACGCACGAACGTGGGCTCTTCAAAATGAGATATCAATCATAGAATTTGATAAAATATTAAGGAAGATATCGTGTGGTAACGCGTAAATACGTTTAGGAAATGAGTACATAGATTGAGGTAGTGCCTCGACAAGGCATGCTTGTATTTTTGCAGCGCTTATATGCACTCCTCGACGCGAGTATTTGTTGAGCTTATTTCAAATAATATCTTCCAAGGACCTCCCCAATCTTACTACATATGACATCTTCCATTATCGTCCTGTGCACGGCGTTGATGTTTTCTGGCGTACAAACCGATATTGGACGATCTTTTCGATGTTCATCGGCGAACGCTTCAAAGCAATTTTCCAATTTCAAACACTGCCCTTGATGATACTTCATCACCAAAAGTCGAAACAACTTCATCGATGCACTATTGTTGTGTTAATTCAATGTCGAATGTTTAAACAATCATTCAACGAAAACATTTTTCTTAAATATGCCTTTTTTGCCCACTTTAAACATTGAAGTAACTGTAAACAACACATAGAGCGCTCGTATTGTGTAACGTTCTCAGCACGTTAATGCTTAATAATGTAAAATTTCAAGATGCAACGGTTAGATCGACTTTTTAGTGACTCTCTTACAACGAGGAACAATAACCATCATCCGATTTACTTTTGCTGTCATTCCAAAAATAATTCAAATATGTTATTAACCGACTTCAAAAACAGGAGGAGGTTATCAATTGGTCAGAATATTTCTACTTTGTATGCTTACTTTGGGCCAGGTTAACCGTTTGCGATAGTCGTTTTTTATCTTAAAGGAGGCAAGATCGTCCCATACTAATGGTTTCGATCATTGGATCATGGAGAAATCACAGGTATTTCAAAACTTTTATATTTTTGCATCAAAATTACTCCTCTCTTATTTGATAGGTGGCCGCTATCAGTAGCTCGTTTCTGTAACTTTTCTCTACCGATTATTTCTCTACTAGTAGAGAATATACTTCATTCTCTACTACTCATTAGCAGTAGAGAACAGAGCGGCGAATTCATATCTCAATTCGCCTTGGTAGAGAATTGTTACAGAAACGAGCTACAGATTTGATGTAAATTTCGGCCGTTTATATGGCATAGATTTTCGATTTCTTGGTGGGCCTGCGACTTGTTTACGTAAATCAGCGCCTTTAAGTAACCCTATATTCTGAGGACGTCTGATCGGGCCATCTCACCTAAACGAGAAATCAAACGATCTGGAAAATAGTTCCTCCATATTTTTTGCATTCTGGTAACGTATACCACTGAATTTCGAAATTCAAGAAATTTCGTAACAGTCCCCGTAAAACTCAAAAAAGTTATAGCGTCTTCAAATATATTTCGGCGCGAAAAAACGCGTACCAAGTTTCACGGACTACAATATTGGACCAGATTTGATGAGGACAATAAAACAATTCGAAAACCAGTTTTTACTATCCTCTGAAACTCCACGTATTATTATAATAAACTACTGCAACAGATTTCATTAAACTTCCATTCTTCTATGAGAATCTACATACACTTTTTATATTTAAACACAAATTTACTTTCCGTTTCATCAATTTCACAATAATAAATTTAAAATTTCTAACTAAAATTAATTTTTTAATTTAGGTTTTTCGTTGTTCGGAAATCATCTGGATTCGATATATATGGACGTATGCATGTACATATGTACATAAATTAAAAAACCTTGCGGAACACACTTACCTGTCCTTCGAAGGTGAGTAAAAATGGACGCGCTTTAATGATTTTCATAGCATCGTACAGCTCGTGTTCCCAAATCAGTTCGTTCTTTATTAAACAGTAGGCGCGCAGAAAGTACGAACGCATTCCACTGTCCTTTACAAAGCAAACGACACCCGTGTGCTTCTTCTTCCAATGCGAGTGGGCGGACCCTTCAGTTTTGTAGATCTGCACTACAGCTGTGTTCAGCGTCTGTAAAATTACAACAACATATAATTACACAACTGATTAACTCTGCTAAAAGTGATTTACTTTTCTAATATATATATATATATTTTTTTTCACAAAGCACTACAAATTACAAAGTATTTAGTTGAGAATATTTGAGTTAAACACAATAAAAGTTCCTATTCATTTTCGATGCGTAACCTTAGTTGGTTTGATCATTTGAATCACTGGTTTGTAGCTTTGTTTTAGGTCGGCTCGCATGTAAACTATCGATTTTCAATCATGCGCATATCTTTCCCGATCGACCGCACTGAAGCGTCTAAACTCTGGCAGTGCACTTTCGTTTTCGTTTGACCGCTTGGCGCGCGCTGGTTATGGCGACGATTGGTGCACACAACGATGGTGGCAATATAAATGCAGGGGTGCGACGAAGGCACAAATCGGACGGACAGTTTGTGCGATAGGCTTAATGATTGCATGGCTGGATGGATGGATGGATGGACGCTATAGATGTATGTATGTACATTTGCGTGGTCCTAAAATGCATGTGAAAAAGTAAAGTCGGAATTTTAATATCGTCACCACCTAGGATTTTACTATACCGAAAAAAATAAACCCCTGAAATCTGTAGTATTAAAAAATGGTTAAATAAACAATTGGGTATTACTATTTGAAGTATACTGTAGAGAACCAGAACTGTGCCTTAGACGGTTCCAAGCCCGGTTTGAGAAAACCGGAGGGGAGACAGGGGTTTTTGGTATTTCCAGGGTACGGGCTTGACTACCCCACCTACCCCAGTCAAAGGCTACCAATCCTGAGTCGGTCGGAGCCGCAATTGGCAGAAGAGTCTACGGCTTTCAAAGTCTTACCAGAGACTTAAAACCTGGGACCGAAGGCGAACAGATGCCCCTGGAGTGTGTTCGTTGACTAGATAAGCAAAGCCGGTGAGACGAACAAAGACAAAAGACAGGCCAGATGCACATGTAAGATCGTACAGCTGGTGAAATTTGCATGGAAGAATGTGGCTCCTCAAGCAACTCGAGCGGGTGTATAAAACCGGAAAAGGAGTGATACTGCATGCCTTCACCCCCCCCCTCCGGTAAGGCTAGTAAGACTTGAGAGATTAGTGAGACGAGCAGAATGAATGTAGGTTAATGGTGGCAACATGGTGAAGCTGTTCTCCGGTTAGGGAGACAGTGTTGGAGGTTGATGATGGCGGAAAAGCAAATCTCACTAGTTGTGGGGTTAAGCGTGTTTATTCTGGTAGGTTTAGTAGATCGCGTCAGTCGAGCTGGTCGAGCAAGTCTTGCAGGCGAGCTCTACTCCAGTCTTTCAGGGTAATGATTAAGACATGAATTAACCCGTTAAGCTTTGGAGCTTCGTGGAGCTTGGACTGCATTAAATTGCGGTAGGTTCCCACGTTAAACTTAAACTACGGATGTAGAGAACCAAAGTTTTCCGAACGAAAAATATTGCTTTTCAAGAATTTTATACTATTTCTTCGTAAGGTCGTTTTGTTTTAATATAAACTACATGGACCACTTTGAGCTCTTTAAGCGACCTCTAAATATTTTTTGATTTCAAAACAAAAAATAGGGGTATATTTTTTCGATATGGAACAATAATAGGGGGTGGGAGCATTAAATTCCGACTTTACTTTTTTGGAATACCTTAATGTACATAGATAGATAGATGACTTGGATGATCGTAACTATTTTTATACGCGAAAAGCGCTTATTTTGCATATCAATGCGTTTTTGTTTTCGTAGAGAAAAAGTCGTATGGCAACAAACTGACATTCACTTGCAATTGCAAAAAACGGAATGATGAAAAGAGTAAATTTAAGTTTACTGGTAGCTTAAGGTGGAGATTGCGCATGTGCCCCGGCTGTCCAACGCTAACAATTGGCTACCGTTTTGTACATACATATTTCGTTATTGGCATTGTGTGCACGTTTAAAAACAGATTCAACATTTGACAATGTCAATGAAACTTGTATGTACATCACAATACCAACAACACTAACACAAACACTATTTTCGAAGTGCAATGTGCCGAATAAGCCATAGACAAGAGTGTACTAAGCTGCATACTAGTCCAAGCTAGCAATGCGACTACCCAGCAGTGAAATGGGAGTTCACAATTAAATGTCGGCATGCATGCATTGTCATTTAGATTAGATATGAGCACATCTTTGGCTCCCAAAACAATTAAAGAGCCAGCGGGTGATGCGTAAGAGGAGTTAAAAAAAAACTCAGCACCTCTCAAAAAAGATAAACAGCAATGTACTGCCTTGATACTAATATCTGGAGCCGTGAGAGCAGAGGTGGCGTAACCCACAATTTCTTTTCTTTGTACTAACTAATTAAAACCTTTTCCAAATGCAATAAAATAAAAGTGTTAGTATGTAGTAGAAGTTAAGGATTTTTATGACATTTCAAACCAAGCGGGTAAATCACATTTACTAAATTTTGTTGCCCAAAGAATTCAATCCAGCAAAAGTGCTGCGTACTCCTTGAAATTGTTGTTGCATTTACTTTTTATTTTGTCTACATTTTGTGCTGAACAGCTGATTGTTGTTTGGTACGAGCACAGGCTTGCATATCTCATATTTAAATAACCAATAATGGCCATTTAAGTGCAGTTTAGATATGTGACCTGAAAACGAATTTTTGAAGTTAATCAACAATTTCTACTTAAATTGGGTCTAAACGTACGTTTCCACGAGCTTCAAATTGAACGGTTTGGATTGTCAATTTCAACTTGAAATTGTAAATATTCACATGACAAATTTCAATTTCAAAACCAATTTCGATGACAGTTGTAAAAAGCAGAACAATAGAAAAATGTATCTAATAGTCTTGCCAATTTTTACCATTATAACGATTAAATTTAACTAAATGAACAACTTAACGCTGTGTATGCGACAGCGACAACTTCTAGACCACAGGCAATGCTACTTTCTTCGAAACTGTGGCTATTCCTTTTTACTCCATGGAGATCAACCATTTTTTCTTGCCACGACTCGATTAGGGCCTTATTCTCTGACATATACATACTTATCGTCACCTGAAATGCAAAAGACGTAACAAACATCGTCACTGAAATGGAAAAAGTCGTGACTGATATTTTTTTTTTCATAAAACGACTTGGGGAGTACAAATGCGACGAAATCCATCAATCAAAAGGTGAATTTTGAATTTTTGGTTAGTTACGGCATTTTGCATTCCAGCGACGATGTTGTTACGTCTTTTTGCATTGCAGGTGACGTATGTAAATCACTTAAAGTTATAAAACTTTCAAGTTGCTACGAACAAAATTTGACATAGTGAAATAATAATAAGGTGTTGTCAGTAGCGACGTGTTTGTTGTAGTTTTGACAAGATCGGCGTGCTTATTTTAAGTGCTGTCGATCATAATTTCTATACTACACGCTATCCTTTGGGAAATAGTATCTAAAATACTCAATTTTAGTAATTTGTTTTATCGCGATTTTTTAAGAACTTGGTGTTTTTGGAACGACATTCAGCCCCATTGCGTAAGTCGTAAATTAGGCTCAATTGTACGACTCGACAATATTGGCATTGTATACAGCCGTGCTGAAATAAGTAAACGACGAAAATCGTCGTAAACTATACAGTGCTGCCAAGTTTTCCCACTTTAATACACTAGTCGAGTGGAAATTTTAGGCAATGGCGTGAAACTTAAGATACGATTCGACTCTCGAAAAACGACTTGCATTCGACACGGCTCTCGTAATGAGGGCGATTAATACTTTAAATTGCTGGATTTGCATAATTTTTGTCCTCAAAATGTAAAAGAATAAAAGAAGGTATCGTGGTTATCAGTGGAAAAAGACGTACACAAAAATCGAATGGAAAGGCGATTGTTTTTAATATTAAAAAACTTTTGCTGCATTGTCATAATATTGAGCCAAACGCACTACTGATACACTAGAATAGAATGGCTGCATGTTAAAATTAGGAATTCACTTATATTTACGATATTTATGTATTTTAATCTATTTAATCATTTACAGCCTTATAGGAAATTGCCGTGGATTAAAAGTAGTATTTTTTCTAATAGGTACTCTAAAATGCATGACCGGAACAGAACTGCCGAAAAAGTTATTATTACACCATGAAAATTAGACTTTTTCAATTTCACCCAAATTGAGAATCGTGCACAATTGCAACTAACATTTTTTTCTATGATCGAATTGAGAAACATATCACACTTTCAAGCTGGAATTGAGAATGGTGCCCAAATTGCGAAACCTGGGGCTCGTGGAAACATTCTATAATAAGGCATCACAAGCAAATGGTTACTATTGCTTGAAATGAAGCTGATTCTGTGCTGATTTTATGATTGTTCCATTTACTGCGGGGTAATAACTGTAATAAACACGTATTTGCTAGTAATATACATGTAAATATGTTACCTATGATGACAATTTATGTAATGCCATAAAATATGCAATGTGTTTATCCGGTGCCTGTGACGACAAGAGCATAACAAGTACATTGTTAAAGTTAAAGGAGTTAAAAGCAGACTCTGTTCGTAGTCTATGAGCAAAGAGTAATAAATATACAACAACTATGTAATAGCCATACACATATTTTAAACGCAACGGAAACTGTCGTTGGTCAGTGATGGCCATGCATTTTGGGAGGATACTGCAAATGGTCTATGAGAAGAAAAAAAATTAATAAAACCTTTGGTGGTATCGTGGTACGGGATGGAAACGATTTCGCTAAATACTTCGAAGTTGAATGGAAGCGTTAAAAAAGAACTTTCGATCGATCGAATATAAGACTTTGAAAAGGAATAGCCATCAATAAAGTAGTCGAAGTGCTGAATGGTATTCGACTGCTGGTGTGCATGGAGTTGGTCACTTCTGAATATTGTCTTTTCGAAAAATTACTGTGTTAGATGAGGCGCGGTATGTCTGTTTTTTTTTTTTGTGATTAAGTTGAAACTAAACGTGAACATTTAAATTGTTCTAGAAATTGCATTTAGGCTAA